ACTAGTTGGAAAACACTTTGTTTTCATCGGGAATTCTGAAATTTCTGAATCTAAGCAAACAAGCCTTTTTTTTTTTTTTAATAAAGCCAATAAATGATGATGATCTTGTTATATTTGTACAGTCTAATGGTTCAAACAATTGGCCTTGTCTTAGTAAGTAGTTACACATCACTTAGGATCCACCTGCATGGATGGAAGCAGACCAACACTAGCTCACTCCACCCAAGATTTGAGTTGAGTAAAAGTTACCCTGGTCTCCTGTGGAAGCAATGCAACTACCTTAGCCTGAGCTTGGTGCACACTGAGCTCTGCAGCTCCTGGCTTTCTACACTCAATCTTGTAGACATGCCTAATGCCTATTCAAAGTACTTGAGTACCATTTAATGGATTCCAGATCATAATAAATCTTTCTAGCTATACAAATAAAAGCTACACAAAGATTTAAAAGCCTTTTAAAACATATGTTTATAAAACTCCTTAACAGAGTCAGTTAAAAAAAAGACTGATTTAGATCTACTTAACATTGAGTTGACATATACTGGAAGAAACTCTGAGTGTTAAGATACTGATTTTACATTTAAATTCTGCTTTTCATTCTGAAACACCCCCAAATACTCTACAGACTGAAAAAGGACTTGGAAGGCTCCCATTTTCTACCACTGAAATACAGTCACCTCCAGTGTGAGACGGAGCAGATGCCTCCATGCAAAGTGTGAAGCTGCAGAACAAGGGCAGTATGCTCTTCTAAGCTACGCTGCAGCTGATAGGAAGGGGGAGGAAGAGGAAGCAGATTGTAATTATTTAAATTGGAATTTGGCCAAGAACCCACGGTTGGCAATGTTCCTCTTTTGTAAGAGTGCCATGAAACGTGATTATAGTCCAGGTTTTACAACTCATTGGAAAGACTGGAGTAATCCTGGTCAGACCTTGAAAAGTTGGAAAACTTGGTTATTTCTATGAAAGCTGTAAGCTCTTGTGAAGGAAAAAGCACAGTGGAAGTCTCAGAAAATCATATATACTAGAAATTTCTGGTATTTTTACTCCCAACTATACCTTCTCTATTTTTTTCTGCTTCTTTTACTGTGACCAACATTTTGGCCTATGTAATATATATATATATTTGTGTATGTATGTACACAGACAAGAACACATACGTGCATAGATATGTTTATAAATAGAGGATTTTAAATGCATTTGACTTGTATATTAAATATTACAATATCAACTTATTCCTTTTCAACTATAAAATTATCTGTTAAATTCTCTTACATAAATTATGTACATATATAAACAAATATCAAGTGAATTCACCTATTTGTAACACATTGTTTTTACTATAAAGACATTTTCAAGTGAAATACCTCAGCTTAAGTATGAACACTTCTATAAAAATCAAATGCTTCCAAGATATTAAATGAGTTGCAAATATTAAGAAGTTTGCCATATTCTTTCTTTGTTTGTTCTTTATCATGAAATTTGCGTAAACAAATTTAACAAGAAAATATTAATAGTTAGTTCTACAGGTAGTATCCGCATAACCTATGGAGGTTATTGAAACAGAGTAGCAATTTCATGGTTCATTTCACATTTCACAGTTTGTTTCCATCTCCTATCAAAATACAAAGTTCTAAAATTTTTTGAGGAAAAAAAAGCACTTCTGTTATCATAAAATGGTCATAAAAGTTGCAAAATTCAAAAATATGAAATATTTAAATTAGGAATTATTCAAGTAACAAAATTATAACATTATTGCATAATAATTTCTCTCTGAAACTTCAGGTTTATGAATACCACTTAATAAATGCTTACACATATTTTCATTACATTTCATAGTTTTGTCATTCAGTGTGAGTAGTGCATGTTTTGTCAGTTTTTCAAACTTTTATTATTATAAATTGATACCAAAGTCAGAAAACAATAAAAATATTTCTGTCTGTGCTCAGTAGCTTTTATTATTAATGAACACAAAATTTTAAAATGTAATAGATTAGTCCAATAGTTAGGCAAGCATTCATAGTTGATGTGTGACATACATAGATTATATTATTCATACTACGGTATGAACTAATGTAAAATAATTTCAAAATATATTAAAAACCCCTTAAAATTCAAAATATGAGATCAAAGTTATAGAACATATTAAAAGTTGGGTTTTTTTTTTAAAGACAGTGGGCTAGGTTTTCTTCAGATCATTATGGTTTTGTAAAAATGCTTGATTTTCTTGAAACAACTTTTTTAGGCAAAACTAATGAAAAATATCCTGTATATCACAATTTATATTACGTAATATGTAATATATTTTATTTTTATAGGGGTATAAATATATAAATACATATGTATACATATCCATGTATACATATAAATATGCATCAAAAGTGCATGTGTCTGGTTACTGTAGGTGTCAGATATTCAAATACAGCAGAAGTGAACCTGTCACACTACATCTACACTAGCAAGTTAAGACCAGTCGGGCCAAATCTGTAAGATGTGCTACTTGCTGTAGGTACATTTCAGGGAAAAGCTGCTTTACCTTTGCCAAGCTCCAGTCTGGACCTGCGAACACACATTAGCAATTATGATGCTTTTTCCAGTTCAGTTTCATTTGCATTTCCAACTAAAACTTACCAAATCCACCAGTATTGTCTTTATCAGCTTAGCATGTTTCTCTCCTGCCCCTGAAAAGGCTGGGTATGTGTTGAACCCGTCATTTTTGTGAAGATGTGAGCATCCTGGGGATTTGTCATTATTCTTTTTCCTGGTACCTTCAAGTGAGAGCCATTGTCTGACTCCCTCAGTTTCACCACTGGTCTGTTTTTTTCAGGGTAACCAGACTTGTGAGCAACTAATGCAAACTCTGGGAAATTAATTGTTATGAAAAGGTAAAAGGGCAACAAATGCTTCCCCTCATCTGGCTCCCCCAAGATCAGAACAAGTAGAAGTGAGTTTTGGAGAAGGTGGTTTGTGAAGAAGGTATGGTTACCCTAATTCTTTACCAGTCTTTTCTCTCGGGTTTTACTGGGTTCCAGGTTTTGACTCCCACTTTTTTTCCAGGGCATTCTTCTAGGGTGGTTACAGAGGATGGGAAGTTTCATGGCGACACTGAAGTTATAATTGTAGACATCCACTGATGGGCATCATCTAGATGTTAGTAAGGTATTTTCCACATTACTGTTCTGAAAATTTTGATGTGGCCTCACATCCCGTAACACTGGTAGCCCCCTGCTGAGCTGTATAATCTAATTAGTTACCACATCACTACAGTAAAACTCCTTCCAGATACTATCTCCCACAATCAGGACATCTTTGACTTGTCACAGAGATTTCATGGGGGTTTAGGATACTGATTACAAAGGTAAAATATAAATTTCTGAATGTTTTACTTTTAATTATGATAGAATTTTCTTTCAAAGTGTTATCTGTTTTTTTTTTTTTTTTTCAAGAGAAGGAAAGAAGAATGAGGGGATTCTGCCTTTTCACTGGTGAGGGTCAGCTTTGGGACCTCCTTCACAGCTAAACGAGAGTACTTTGAATGACTGACAAGACCAAATAGTTGCCAGGGTTTTATTTAATGACAGCACTTTTAAATTAGCAATTGCAAGCCAATAAACCATGGGACTACTGTTGCTATGTAATACAGCAATCTTACCGCTGCTGACTGAGAAGATGAGCAGCAGAACATAGAAGACTAATTTTGAATCCTTTTGCCTCCCTTCATCTTCTGATGTGGACACCCATTAAGCAACTTAGATTAGAAATTTGAACAGAAGTGCGCTGCATGTACATGGAGAACTCCTGGGCCTTCTTGAGCAGACTACAAGAACATGATGGTCTGAGCAGCAGGCTGCAGGAAGGTCCAGTAAAAAGTGAATCACTCTATGGACCAGACCCAGCCACAGGTTGCCAGGGGACTATCCTGCTCCACCAATACCAGAGTGCCAAATCCACCCGTCTCAAGAGGGGTCGAGTGAGTCAGTGCTTGAAAAATGTAAGCTACGTGTATATCCATGTTGCTATCTAAGTTCTAGCGTGTTTAGAAAACGAACAATGCAGTTAATCTCCTAAATGAAAGAGCCAAGACTGCAGTAGATAAAACTGGGTATGAGACAAATAGTTAGAAAAGTGAATTGTGTCAAGGGAGTACGTTAGCCAGACTGTGAAGACTATGGCCTACCTGTAGGATCTCAAAAGAAATATGCAAAAAATGCCTTTGTAATAAGTGGTTGGTGAAGACTTCAGGCCACAGTATTACTGAGGACCAGGGAAAGGAAGTGAAGACACCATGAGAGATACTGAGTAGAATATTTACTTAAAAGAGATCTCATCTCTACAGGTGCTTCTGTTCCAGGCATAGGAAACTTGTAACTATGTGCTAAAGGTCCTGGGACCATGAAAAAGGACGAAACTGTATCGATGCAGTGGGCCACCAACTAAATAGAAGGAAACCTAACCCTCTGAAATAAAACAGCAATAGCAGCAAACACATTTTGGGATGTACAGATACTACAAGCATATAAAGTTATATATTTGACCAGCTACCGCATGTTTAGTCTGATACTATTTTCCACTGCTTTAAAAAAAGGTAAATTGAAATATGCACAAAATTACTGTCAGCATACAAAGTGATGATGATTTTCATGAGGCATATTTCAGCATCAAGTGCATGCACTTCTAAATTAATGAACTAAAAGTTTGATGCCTTTTATTTGTGATGCCCCTAACACAGGATGATTTGTGACTATATATGGATGTGTAGAGAAGAGATTGCAACTGACATTTTGAGCAAAAACAAATAGAACAAAGATAAGCATGACTGATTGTTCCAACAAACATCAGGCAATTTTGCAATGCGTATGCAAGTCTGAATTCACTCCAGTTTTCAGCTATATAAAACTATCCCACTCATAAGCTTTGATTTTTAGTTATGAATTGCTTATTTCTTTTTTACATCATTATGTTTAACAATTAAATGGGACTCCCCAAGAGAAAAAAGGTCAGATGTCTTTTTGTAATTAATGAAAATTACAAATATTTTATTGGTCATTTAGTATGTTTACACTGCCTGAACCACAGAACTTGCTATCTTAAGTGAACACAGAAAACGCAATATAGAATTATTTTACACAGCTATACAGAACAATAAAAAAAGTCCTTTTAACATTATTTCAGTACATACAACATTCTCTTGCTAAGCCAACCATGCGTTGATTAGGAGCTGTTTTGGACAGTGAAATGCCACAGCTCACAGCAAATGCTCCAAACCCATCAAATTTCGCATGTGATTCTCAGAGGTGTAGTACCAGTGTATCAGTGCAGTCCACCCAGTCTGAAATGCCCTCTCTTAACTCCGAGAGAGCGGTGTGCGCGCAGAATTCAGATCAGCTGGGCAAGTAAAATCTAGCTATTAGCCCGAAGGCCAAAACACAGGGATGTGATGTAGTTTCTTACAAGTTTATTTTTTTCATCTCAGGCCGTTCTGTGTCAACTCTTCAGGCCACTCGGACAGACAGCTCTTGCTCTGTCACACCACTCTGGGCACGCATATCGAATGTGCCTCTCTGCAGTTCCGCTAGCCGCGAGACCCTGTTTGAGGCTGAGAAACTTAGACTGGCTGGCTTACCCCATGAGAAGATTTCACTTTTTTTTTTCCTAACCTTTCTAAAAAACTCAGTTGTCAACAAAAAAAAAGTATTTAGCTTTCAGCTTTTTTCATTCAAGGTAGCAAATGTCAGCTAGGTTTTTTAAAGAGATAGTGCTGTGCCCTAATTCCGCTCCAACTGAATTGAATGGTTAAACATTCACTGATTTCAGTGGATGGATCAATAGAACTGTACTGACGACTTTAGAAAATGCCTGTCTTCAGTATTAAGAGATTTAATCTTAGCTAGAACACAGATGCACTGGAGCTCTCGTGTATTCTTTTATCTCTATGAGAGCAGAACTTTTGAAAATTTTTATTACAGAAAATGAGAGCTTCCGTAAAAATACTGCTTTAAAAAATACTGCAAAAAAAGACAGCAAGTGTACTAATATGTATATATTAACTCCTAAAAGTAGGCAGTATATATGGTCTTTATTTGCAAAATCTAAATGTCTGACTTAGCAGGACTCATCTTAACAAAGAATTAGTCCAGGAAAATATGAAAAATATGTTACACATTTGCCAATACAACAGCTATATTTTAAATTAAAATAATAATAATATACATGTACAATAGTGTAACGATATAACTTGATGAAAATAACACTGATCAGTATCAAACTTAGGATTTCATTGATCATCCTTAACAGATGAAATGTATTTCACAGAAATAGATGCAGACAGGGTGAAGTGATATTCATGGCTTACGTGAGAAAGTTACCATGAAAGTTAATGTAAAAATGTGAAGAACAAAACTTTAAATAGATTTATAGTTATAAAAGTTCAGCATTGTAGCAGTTGGGTGCATCGGTTGCAGAAAGATGGTAACAGCAACCTAATGGTAGACAACATACACACTTGCACACATACTCACACATACGTGCCCATGCTCAAATCATGTGCATAGGTCCTCAGCTTGATTATGCAAGCATATGCTTACTAGCTTTTGGTGGAGCAACACCAGGAATGGGGATTACCTCTCCTATTTTAAGCTGTCTGCAAGGTAGCTGTAGCTATCTAAAGTCAGATGAGATGAAACCCACCTCAAACATCAGCTGAACATTTTAATGAAAACTGTTTTCATCCTGAGCATATTTAAGGCACTTTATTAAAAAATGTGAAGTTAATCAAGGCTGGAAAAAAAGGTTAAAATCCTTATGTGTGAAATTTGGAAATTAAAAAAAAAATATTCCTGAGTTTTGATAAATATTTTTATTATAATAAAATACCATGCCTATTGAAAACATGTCTTCTATAAAAGCATGTTATATAACATTTTTTCTTGAAAAACTCATGCCTTAGTGCACGAAATATGTTATTAAGTCTTTGGGTGGGGACATCTGTAACAAATTAATAGGAAATGAAAAGCCAAAGAATGACCTGTCATGTATGTACAAAATGTGTCTTGCTCCCGGCAACACACATCATGTTTACTACAGGCATCTTTATCTTTCTGTTTTTCTCACAGGGTCCTGCCCATACTTTAATACTTTATAATTAATTATGCTTCACTAAACTATTTACAGAAGCAGAAAGTAATCATGCATCTTCTTAAGCCCATAAATATGGAACTACAGAAGGAGAACATATTTTAAAACAGTATGAAGGCAAGTGTGCTACATAGTACTGTTCTCTAGAAGTACAATTGTGAATTATTTACTTTATGAAGATTTAAATCTAAATGAAAATAGAAGTTCAAATTCTCCATCTGTTTTTGTTGGTTACATTTTTCCACCTGCTATTTCGAAAGGCTTTTGCCCCAAGACAGTACTCGAATTGCAACAACAGTTGTAAATTGTTGCAGAACTATTTTGAGCAAAGAACCATGAGGTTCTTGAATGCTCACTGTTTATATGGGATACAATCGATTTGTTTACAGTTAAAAATAGCTGGTTTCCAATACTAGCCATTGTTTGTATGGTTCTAGTAGTATTAATTTTTGCTTGGGTGTTTTTTATCCTTTGCTGTCATTAAACACGAATAATGTGGAAACAGTGAAATGGACCATATCCAAAGTGATGCCAAATGCAGTGAACACACAAAGTGGTTACAAAATGGCATTTATAGAGGCTTTCAGAGGTTCCTTCTAACAATAAAAGGTAAAACCAGTCATCAGTGTGAAATGCACTTTTGACTTGACTATCCTTTAATATTTTCATCAGCTACCTCTATAATACCCCTGATAAAAATGCTACTTTTTATATTTAAACTTCTATTACAAAGTATTTAATGTTTTATTTAAAAAAAAAAATACAATAGTGATGGCGGTTAATCTGCTTTATAAAAAATAATATACTGAGTTATATATAATAATGGTTTTGGTCCAATTAGTGTTATATTATACTGCCTAGTAATTACTGTGACTTCAGTTCCTACAACTGTTATAGCAAATACAAATGATTGTTTAACGTACAGGAAGTGGGGATCATTTGGAAGTGCTGATTCAGAAGTATTCAAGTGCTAACAATGACTTTCTATGCTTTTCTTCATGTTCCATAAATGACGATTTTATAAATGTCCATGATTTTGAATGCGACACAGTTTTGGGGCATTTTTTTTTTTTATGTTCTTTTTCTGTGCAAACACAAAACTAGATTTTTCTAAACGTTACCATCTCGTTAAAAGTGATTGCCACTTTTACTTAAAAAGGCACCAGCATTAATTTAAGAGAATATACCTTTTGTGCTTGTTTTATGAAGAGCTGTACTTGTTACTGGAGCGGAAATTATCATATCCATGATCATTAGCTTTGAACTTTAAACAGGACTGCCTTTCCTCCAGGGACAACAGATCTTTGGATTGGCACCAGCAACACAAGCATGACTGTTAAAATAAAAGGAATAAAGATTTTACATCACTTTGTTTTGCACATCTGGCAAAACACACTGAAATGCTGCCCTTCTTCAGCAGTACAGTAAAAAACATCAAGTGTGTCATTTTGACATTACAGCATAAGCAAAGAAACAGAGTGAAGCTCTGCATTGTTCAAATGGCCACTACCTTCTGGGAGGCCCCTTTAGCAACTGACTCGAGCACTGGAGGGCAGGAAGAGTTACACAGAGTTATATAAATTCTGCTATTTAGCCAATTTGAGGGGAAAAAAGAGACCTAAGTAGGAGAATGATGAAAACCTACCTACGGTTCAAACATCTGATAGATGTACTGCAGACCTTTTGCTGATGTTACTGACTGGCCTTTGGGTGCTGGAAGTCCATCTGGGATCCTGCACACCTACTTGTTACCACATTCAGGATGCTACAGATGTCTTAGCTGCTCTCAGCTCCGGTGACTCCTTCAGGGAGCCAGTAATGAAAACAGGGAAGACGAGACCGACACTAAAGCATCTGCCATGTGTGCTGTCGCCTTATGAGGGAGATACCCCGACAATACTAGATGTAGAGCTGACTGGCTTCTGATGGAAAGACATATCCAGTAAGGAATTTGCACAGCTGGGGAATAAGCCTAGCAGTGGGCAATGGTTAAATGCTTGGCAACAAAACCAAAACCTAAGAATTTGCGGCAGGCACTATAAGAACGCTGATACAGTGTCTGAAGACAGTAAGGGTTCACAAAAAAAGCTCTAAGGACCAAATCTAGACACTTCTTCTATAAGCAGCCATGAAGGCTGAAGGTCTGACAGGCTGCAATCCACATGCGATCCAGAGCCTCAAGTCCTGCGTGGCGAATTAGTGCCCACGACTATTCACTCAAACCGCAGCAAAACTACAAACAGGTCCGTCTCATAAAATGCTGGCAGGGGAAAGGGACAAGCGGATACTTGCACCCGCTGCCTTATAGAACTGCCTGCTGATTTAAGTGCTCGGCCAGGATGGGGGAGCCCAGGGTCAGCACCCTCCCCGTTGGGTTGCAGAGGATATGGCTACGTGAACCTCTGCACCACGGTCCGAATCTGCTTTGTCAGTGCTCTCGAAGTGGCTGGGCGCCAGCTCCAGTCAGGAAATGATGTAGCACTGATTAGCAGGGTACCGAGAGGGCTTATTATACAGTCCTCTCTTTTGCTTTCTCCTTTTGTCCCTATGAATCCTAAATTCCTTTCTATGTAGCTTCAGCAGGAGAGGGAGAGAACACCTACCATAACCCAGTTAAAATCCAAAATGAAATGTAATGACCATTTAAAACACTTTGTGCATGTTAGGGAATGAATTTTACTGATGACAAGCTTTTAACGAGAGGAGCAGCTCCTAGTAGGCACATACCTTAAAGCAGTTCTGGAATCTTTTGCTCACCAAATACAGAGCTATCGGATTGATGCAGGAATTCAGTGAAGCCATGTTAATACCAATGTAGTCCATCACAAGAAAAAAGCTGTGTGGAAATTAAAGTGAGACACTTCTCATTTTCTCTGAAAAGGCTTAGTGGAGGTTTACAATTATGAAAATTGAAATCAGCTTCACTCAACCAAGACTAACAATTAAATGTAATAGTAAAGGGGCTTATATCAAACAGGATTAACTCATGGAGGTAACAATTGTGCTCAATAATAAAGTTTGAATCAGTAGACCATTCTCATTAAAGTAATTTCAGAAGATCCAACCACCTTAACTTGTGGGAGGAAACATTCACAAGGTTTTCCTCACAGATTTAATCCTAGCTCTTCTGTTGAAAAGGAAAACAGGGATAGAAATCCTCCCTCCACCCACATACCACAAGAGAGCAGGATAGTCCTAAAAGGGATCAGGAGAAGACAGGAGAACAGGAAAGAAGCCCTGTGCTCATGAGGTTCCTCACAATTTCCTGACTCTGCTACTGGAGTGAAACCAGAGTCTCCTGGATGAAGAAGCACGGAGAACTTCAGACACACAAAATAAGCTAGTTCAGTAGGAAAACCAGTTACGCTTATGGAGAATGTCAGCAGCTCACAGGTGTTTTATTTTTACAGTCTCACCTTAAAAGTTCACATCTGTTGGGGTCCTTCTGATCATAAATAGTAAGCTTCAATATTCTGCTTAAGTGAAGTGGGAGCCAACACAAGGCAAAAACAAGTACCAAACAGAACACAGTTTTGGCCACCTCACGTCTCTGAAAAAGAAAATTGGGACAGAACAGTGTTACAGTTTCTGTCTCTCTCTTTATTGTTGTTGTCAGAATATCCAAATATTTGATAAACAGAATAAAACCCCTATCAAAATAGGAGCTAGGAGAACATCAGAATCCCTTGTTTTCTTGGAATATGTACTTAATCTTTTCTATTGTTTTAGATGTCTTATACTGATTCTCTGTATTTCTAATTTTAAAAAGTATGAGTAGTAATATGCAAAATCAAGAACATGAAAACAGTCATTTAAATTAAAATGAAGAACAGATTTGTGAATGAAAAGCTGGTCATGAGCCGTCAATGTGCACTCGAAGCCCAGAAAGCCAACCGTGTCCTGGGCTGCATCAAGAGAAGTGTGACCAGCAGGTCCAGGGAGGGGATTCTGCCCCTCTACTGAGCTCTGGTGAGACCCCCCCTGGAGTGCTGTGTCCAGCTCTGGAGTCCCCAGCACAAGAAAGACATGGAGCTGCTTGAGCGGGTCCAGAGGAGGCCACAAAAATGATCAGAGGTCTGGAGCACCTCCCCTATGAAGAAAGGCTGAGAGAGTTGGGGTTGTTCAGCCTGGAGAAAAGGCAGCTCCAGGGAGATCTTATTTACCCTTTTACTTAAAGGGGGGCTTATAAGAAAGATGGGGACAAGCTTTTTAGCAGGACCTGTTGCAATAGAACAAGGAATAAAGGTTTTAAACTAAAAGAGGGTAGATCTAGACTAGCTATAAGGAAGAAATTTTTTACGATGAGGGTCGTGAAACACTGGAACAGGTTGCCCAGAGAGGTGGTTGATGCCCCATCCCTGGGAACATTCAAGGCCAGGTTGTATGGGGCTCTGAGCAACCTGATCTAGGTGAAGATGACTCTGATCACTGCAGGGGGGTTGGACTAGATGACCTTTAAAGGTCCCTTCCAACCCAAACTATCCTATGATGTTCATCTCTCCCAATCACTTTCAAATACTAGCTTATTTTCAATTGCATTTTCTTGTGCTTTGATCTCAGATCTTATTTTAAATGCCTCAAGAGATTTCAATTACAGCTTTAACAAGGTAAGAGGAAAGTAGCAGAAATATACTTTATAGTACAAATGTAGCTTAATTCTAGTGATGCATGATGTTTGCGTCTGGTGCACTACTAACTTGAAATGTATTTTGAAATTATTTTTGTTCCGCTAACCTCACTACAGTTCTGCATGAAATTGATTCAAAATAATTAGTAATTTTACTGCACCAGTTTTTTGATTACACCATGACCTCAGTTTTCATTAAAAATATCCACCTCTCATAATTGAAATTAAAACTAGAAGGATTAACACCAAATAAGAAAAAAACTATTTCATGTCAGTTAAAACCTTACATTTCTGAGGACTCTGAGATAGATATATATATATATTATATATATACATTCACACACACACACACACACACACACATATACGAGTTCAGCAGCACCACTGTTAGAAAACTTCTCCTTAGTAATAATCTTGAAGTTGTTGTACAAGAATGGAATAATGATGTAGCGGTAAGGTCAGTAAAAGTATTATTGTCATCCTCTCTACAGTCATCAGAGTTGTCATGGATAAATTTTTACCTGTTTTAAGTGGTCATTTAAAGCAATCTGCATCCCACTTTTCTTTCGTAACATCTCGCAGGTCATGAGAGTGTAGAAAAACGCAGTGATAGCCAGTGGCAAGCAGAAGTAAAAACTAAACAGCCACCAGTCTTTAGCTTGCTTGTAAAACTAGAAGATAAACAAAAGCAAAAACATTGTTAGGAGCTGAATGTTGAGCATTTTGGAAAGTATGCTATGCTATAACTAGTTGTTCAGTCTGTCCTGAGAAGCATCTTTATAAAATGCATATTGCAGATGAGAAAACAGGACGACAATAATATTCCCAAAGCCCACAAAAAGACAAAAGTTTCTGGATGCTCTTCTTTTAAGCAATATACTTCAGAAATTTCTCAGCATTTCATCTGAACATTACATTCACCTACATTTCACATAAACAGGTGCACATTACAATCCACACAACACTGAGAAGATACAAGGAACCGTTCCAGAGAGCTGTGATTTTGTAAATGTCAGTGTCTTACCATCATAAAGGATGTTTTCTGTGTGGGGTGAAGCAGGCAGATTCTAAGATCCTTTCCTCTGTACTCCATTGTAATCATGTCAAATGCAATAGCTTCTGGAACAGCCAATATCACCGATATAACCCAGATCAGTACAATCTCAACTGCAGTCCACTTTGGCACTCCAATTCCTTTAATGCGACTCCAAGAAGCAACTGCTCGATATCTGAAGCAAGAGCACACATTTGCAAATTAAAAATGTAAGAAAACCCACCTACTTTAACTGGCTTAAACTCAGTTTTTTAGTATTCTATCAGCTGAGTAGAAAGGCAAATTTTGAGCCAGAGCCCATACTGAAAAGAAATTACAGAATTTGATGAAAAAATGGATCTCACCTATCTATACTGAGGGCACACAAACTCAACACTGTGATGCCCACTGATGCCTTTTGAATGAAGGGTACTAATTTGCACATTTCGACACCAAAGGGCCAGTCCTCTGCAAGCAGCTGTGAAAAGAAAACAACAATTAGAAATGAAACGGTTTTAAAAAATAATTCCCAAAGCTGCAATGTGGACTTTTGTCTTGATTATTTTTTTTTTGTTTTTTTTTTTTTTCACCAAGTAAAACTTAAGTCAGGAAGAACCTTTTCACAAGGGAGTCAGCAAGGTGTGTGTCCTAAAAACTAGGCGGTAGCTTCACAGTCACCCCCTGGTTGGACAAGGATATGCACAAAAGCTTAGTCCTGACTTCTCAAACCCTGCAAACTCCACTCATTTTGCTTCTAACTTTACCACCCCAGTGTTTCTGGTGAAAAATGACTGAGCAGGTGAGGATTTCCCTCGTTTTTGTATTGCCTTTATCTGTCTTGAGCGTTCATTGCTTTTCTTATATGTTACAAGTAACTATTTACTATAAATAGATAATTGCTTAAGGCTGATCAGAACTGGGACAAAACCAACAACTGCACATCTAGGGTGGGGTTTATTTGAAGCTTGGTGCCTAGGCTCCCTCAGCTGAGAAGTCAGGCAACACTGGAGAGCAATTTGTCCCACAGTTTTTAGCTGACTATCTGATGATGAAAGGAGGGATTCACTGGACACTCGCGGAGCCTGAACAGCTAGTCTGAACTAAATGGTTTGCAGCAGGTAAAGGCAGACCAGATAAATCCCACACTAAAGATGTTTATTAACCAGTTTTCCAATGATTCTATATTACAATACTGAAAGGACTATCTGTACATTCAGCATACTTATAAGTGCTATGGAATATAAAGAAAACAGTACAATGAATTTTAGATTGGTTCAACTGCACTTTGGGTTGTAAACTTTAATGGAAATCTTCTGTCACATCCCCAACAGTACATTTTTGCTGATTTAAGGGACAAGACTTACTGGATGCAGAGAACACCTTCGTCACAGCTGACGCTATGAGCTGTTTGCCTGGAGCTTCAGTTTAGAAACATTTAATCTTTGTACTCTGATGTGAACTACTCTAATAGCTCAAATACACCACAGCAGCAGCCAAATCTTCCAGTTCATCATAAAAACAAGACTCTCCAGAACGGAGGGTATGCCAAGAAATAGTCACAATTGTTATATACAAAAGTAAACTTTCTGAGTTTCTGTAATTAGTTACATTATCTGAGTCCATCTCTGTTTTTCATAACTTTCTTCAAATAAGGCCTTTTAGATCTGTTGCAGATAGAGGGCTACAAAATGGAAAAGGAGAGGAAAGAATGATAACTGCCCAAAAGTGACTGTAAAATTTTTCCCTGAGCTCAGGTCCCCTCAGACATCTTACTTCAACAGGGATGTAGGAAAAGAATAAATAGATCATCATATATATAGATCGTATATAGATAATCATAGTATCCTGGCTTGTATCAGAAATAGCGTGGCCAGCAGGACTAGGGAAGTGATTGTTGCCCCTTTACTCGGCATTGGTGAGGCCGCACCTCAGTTCACTTTTGGGCCCCTCACTACAAGAAAGACACTGAGGTGCTGGTGTGTGTCCAGAGAAGGGCAATGAAGCTGCTGAAGGGTCTAGAGAATAAGTCTTATGAGAGGCAGCTGAAAGAACTGGGGTTGTTTAGCCCAGATGAAAGGAGGCTGAGGGGAGACCTTATCGCTCCCTACAACTACCTGAAAGGAGGTTGTCGTGAGGTGGGGGTTGGTCACTTCTGCCAAGTAACAAGCGAAGAAACCGCCTCAAGTCGCACCAGGGGAGGTTTAGAGTGGATATTAGGAAAAATTTCTTCACTGAAAGGGTTGTCAGGCATTGGAACAGGCTGCGCAGGGAAGTGGCTGAGTCACCATCCCTGGAGGTATTTAGAAGACACATAGATGCAGCACTTAGGAACATGATTTAGTGGTGGACTTGGCAGTGCTAGGTTAACAGTTGGACTCTTAAAGGTCTTTTCCAACCTAAAGGATTCCATGATTCTATGATCCTATTGTATAGATTCTGCTGGGGACCAAAATGATTGTAGATAGCCACAGAGTTCCTGCTCACCTTGGTTTGGTTCAGCAAAGTCCTTAAGCACACCTACATGCATATCTACAGATAAAGACTTACATGGTCCAAAAAAGTTTCTGAAAAGCCCTGATATAATTTAAGTATCACACACAAAGGAAGCTAAGTACATTTCATGACCATGTGCTTTTGGAAATCCCTATGAAGTGTTTTCAGGTACCAGATACATTCAGAAATCTGCTTTAGTCCTGTGCTGAAATTGGATCTTTGAAAGCCCAGCTCTGATCTATTTCTTAAATGATCTACTTAAGTAAGACAAAGAGTATAATGCTTCTGCAGAAATGAAGCAGAAAAACAAATTCTAAGGATTTATGTTTCTTGAGAATTTTACGTAAAGTAATAAAGCAGAGGAAGTAGGGATGAGGCTGTAATGACCATACAGTATATTTTACTTATGTGATGTGGGAAAATAACTCAGTCTGTAATTAAAGTATTTTCAGTAAAGCCTCTCCCTGAGACTTCTTTTGAATTGCTGTGAGGGGTTGATACTAACAAACTCCTATTAAAATTGCAATGTGAATAATTACAGGTGTTCTAAATGTACACTCTACAGAATCAGGTGACACCTGGTCTAATTTAATTTATATCAATCAGGCAGTGAACCTCCAGCCTACCACACCTAGTTGCTATAGAAACCAAGGACTGGGTAGCAAGTACACTGTATACTTGTTTACAGTTTCTATTGTATATAGTACAGATACATATATTAAACCAGAGATGACTCATTTAAAAAGCACTTTAAAATTAAAGTATTTTGTTCTTTGTTGAACTCAAATTCAGAACTGATCAAATTTATGTTGGAAAATTCTGTTGAAGACTTTTAGGTACAACTAGCTGGTATATGTACAAGACACTCCCTGCCTCTCTTCTCTAAGATCACAACTGCTCAGCCACACATCTGAGATTTCCCTGAGAGCTAACGCTCATCCCTCAGGTGCAGACAGTCACACCTGTGCTCCAAGCTGCCTGGACTTGAGCCAGCTCCAGTTTGGGAGCCATATGGCTGGATTATAATGGGGCTGCACACGAGTGAATGTGATCTACTGAGAGAAAGGGTGCATTAGCTCGGGTTTAGCACAACATCAAAGTATCACTTGCATTCAGCCAGCTTACATCAGGGGCAGAATGGACACACAGCTGTCTGCATTGGATTGGAAAAACATGCCCTTTATCTCTTGCAGCAGATGTATTGTGAAATTTGAGCATATTAATGCATAAATTTCTCTACCATGGTATTGCAAGTGGTTAATGATAGGCTTTGCAGCAAAAGCTTGAAAATGTTAAGAAAGTAAAAGGAAAAAAAGTAGAATGTTTTAATTGCTGAACTATGCTTCCTTGTTTTTGTTTGTCCTCTGTATTGCCATCTCTTCGAAACACTGCCTCAAAAGTACAGTGAAAATCCACTGTACTCCAGTCAGGAGCATCACATTTGTGAATAAGAGCAATGATTATTCTTAGTGAGGTATAGATGTAGCCTAGTGCAATTTCGTATGGCTAAAATGATTTTCTTATGATTCATAACAGGGTATCTGTACAAAGGGTGCCATTTTACAAATGACAAATGACTTAGGGGCCTGAGATACTGCCAAGTGGCAGCAAAGAGAAAAAATAATGTTGCATTTTCAGCAGTAAAATGCCAAGAGAAGTCTACCACTGGCTACATTCCGAACGACCTTTTCCAATGTTTTATAGTCACTTATTTTACATGGGCAAAGTTTTAACTGCTAAGCCACAGAAATGTGTTGAAGATGAAATGAAACGGCACGAAAGGAAACACGGTGCAGAACGAAGCGAAATAAATCGTTCTTAAAAGAACCAACACATCTGATGCACTCCTAGCCAACCAACCCTTTCTCGGACCAGACACTGATCTGAGCCTGAACTGATATGAAAGCTGCACAGCTACGAAAGTAGCCCCAAGAGATGTTGCGACTCAGACACACACCTGTGAACTGCAATTCCCGCCCTCCTTCCTCTCCTGGTTGTGTAGGAACAGAAGGATGTTCGTGACCCGCTGCTGGAAAATGCCAGCAGGCAAACACAACACGCTGCTCCTCGCTGGCTCAGCTGCTGTGGCCACTAGCCAGAAGGCTTATGCCACGGCTCCAACCCACTGCTGTTGACTTTCTGCAGCTGAGCACGAAGAAGTAGCAAATTATGCACTTACTTATACCAGCGTCCTAGTCCCGAGCAATGAATGCACGCAGAAATGCAGAGCAGGAATTTGTACTTCCTCCTGGCTGTGTGTTCACAGCAAATCTACTTCACAGGATGATCGGGCTCGACTTTCAGCATTATGAATTGCAGAGTTACATGGAAAAATCAGATATGCAACTGTAGACCTAATTTGCAAGCCACATTTTTTTCAACATATCTGTGAAATGACTGGCAGATTTTCACCTGATACTTTTGACACAGGGAGGTCATGCACATAAAATATTTTTCAGTATTTGATAGAAGCAAGCATTTTTCAAAACAGGAAACTTGCCCAGGAAATTAAGCTTATGGTCAGGAATAATTCAGAAAACACTACAAAACTTATTAATATTTAACAATAATTATGATGGCAGGGTGGGGATCTTCCCTCTAGACAAGAAAATAAATTTGCCACTTCCTAGTTGAGCTAAGAACGTTTTATTGATCTATCCAATAAACAGTGTAAAAAAGTGAGGCATGCAAGTAGTTTATTTTCCTGTGTCTTTAATAGCAACTTCTGCTTAGGAACTTCATTTTTTGAAAAAACCTCTTAAAGTAAAAAATTTCTGCAATTTCATGACCCCAGTGAAAGGACTGCGTCAAAAGTAGCCATTAAGAAAACCGTGCTGCTGTTAGACTGGGAAGCATAAACACAGGGGGGAAGCCAGAAAATAAGATGAAAACCTGTTTGGCAATTTTTCATGTGCATCTCTCAAGTGAATGTATACATAACAAATGTATACATAATGAAAAAAAACTACTCTAAATTTACAAATCCATACTGACATCATCTAACGTATTTCATGATGTATCTGCGAACTGAAAAGTATGTATGTGTACTTTTAACAACATACAGACATTTCCACTACCCTATATATTGGACTTCAAAGTAGCTTGTTCCCATCTAACTACAGAACAAAGCTACCCCCATTGCCTGCAGAGCCTAGACAGATTCCTCCACTGGACAATTCAGACGTTTCTTAAGTGCCCATAAACTGCATTCGTTGACCATAAAGGGTTCCTAAGCAAAATAGACTTGTAGCTTAATATGGTCAGAGATCAATAAACTTTGTGTAGGAAATTCTGAGATTAACTTTGCAAGACCTCAGGTAAGTGGTTCAGATGTTGAAAGAACAAATGCATTTATTTCTCCCAAAAATGGCTGTTATCTTTAACATCAGAAGGACCGGTGGCCAAGAATGGTAATATGGAATAGTAACAATGTTTTCTAAAGAGAAGTACCTTGGCTTTTTTGGAAACTTAGGAAAAGACTGTTTTTATCATGATGCATGCCCTACAGGTACTTGCATTACAAGAGTTGGTAAGGTCATCACAAAGACATTTCCGTGGAAATCCTGCCTTTTGCAGAGCAGAGCTGGATTAACAAAGGGGCCAGTTTGCATCTGCATGGAACGTGCTGTCCCTAATCTGGTCTTTCTTATATTTCCAGTGCTTGATAATGTTACATAATGGTAACTATATTTTTGATGTAATCCCTAAAATACATTACTGAAAAAAAATCAAAGCTGACTTTGATTTTTAAGACCAGGTTTTGTTTCTTCCCTGGAATTTTTTTTCCTCCACTCTCCCATTGTGCTCTGAGATAAAGGAACCTGTGACAGTATTTCCAGGTAAATATTCTTCCTCAGTCATTTGCGTCCTAGCAAAATGATAGTTAGAGTTCAGTGACCAGAGTTGAAGAGTGTGCAGAGGCCAGGTTGTTCCCCTGTTAAAAATTCATTGGAACATGACAATAAATTGGATTTAATATAAGAGAATAAATATTACAATATAAGAGAGGAGTTGTCTATATATCATAAGAGAAAGCATGTTATTATATTATTTGATTATAACTTTTAAAAGTCTGTGCTCCTATCTCCGTATACATATATGTATGAGAGGCAGAGACAATGTAAATTTGGAATTTCCAATCCTAATGTTGTTTTGGTGATTTACACATGGGAGTTAACAACTTTTCTATTTGGGAAACTGAGTATAAGCCTCCCAGAACTGCAGATCTGTATTGTCAGGCCACTGTCTTGTCTTCCAAAGATTAAGTGCAGAGGACATAAAAGCTCACTGACCACCTACTCTAACCTTCCACTCCTTACGTTCACACTTTTAATTGCTGTTTGTGGCCTCAAATTAACAAAGACATGCTTAGTTAGTCTGTTTACTGAAGCGGTTGACCAGGCATAGGATGATCTTCACATCCAATTAGTAGCAATTTTGCAAAGTATCTGCACTGCCACTACATTACGTACTGCAGAATGACTGTCTCTGACTTTTCTCTACCTCCCATTGTGCAGTTTCAGGGGGATGGCCAAGGCCAGATTGTTTATCAGGACCCTGAACTCCAAAAGGGTCTTCCAGGTTCTGCATGCTGGAACTGAACTCCCATCAAACCCTCATCTCATACCCAGTTTCCTGACTGTGTGACAGATTCCAATACTTCCCATTTTCTACTGAACATGCTGCTCAATATTCAAATTTATCAAGTGCAATGGACTAACTAGCATCTTACACACTGGACTGCATTTGCCTCACAATCTAGATAACACCTGTTTTTCTTTAGATATCCTCAATTTAAGAGCTGCAACTTTTAATTTGTGCATTTTTTTAGCTCCTTACATATTCACTTAATTTAAATAGTCACAGGGGACATCTTTTGCAGTTATCAATTTTAATACCTAATAAAAAGCTGCTCCTAGATCAATATGAGTTCTCTCTTATGGGTCTGTCTGGAAAGCATTCACAGACCCTTTCACACTTTCTACTAGAAGCACTGCTGAGTAAACTGCTGGCATTTTATTAACATGAGAAATTCTCTCACATTCTTTTTCACACAGCTGTCTAACTGAGGATCTGGTAGCAATTCTGAAGATCCGTTTCATCCAGTTTAAAACTGTTTCAAATTGCAAGTTACAACTGTTAAGTATACTTGATTTACAAGCCAAGCCTTTCCTAGCCTTTGTTTTTCCCATACTGCTGGGTGATTATAGCCAGCTCTTGTTTGTGTCACTGTATTTTCCCCTCATAGTGTTGCTCTGCAGGTGGAATTAATTGGGGTGTAGAGTTGATGAAAAGTTATCATCAACTCAAATCTCACTCAAACTCTTAATTTTGCTTAAATAAACACAGTGTCTGAGGTTTGTTTGGGGTTTTTTAACTCAGATTCATTCAAACGTCCTGTTTCTAAACAGCAAATATTTCACTCACTATCACAAAGGATAATATAAATTTATTATGAGCTCTTCATTAATATGAGTAGCAGCGTGGGAGATTTAGCACCTGAAAGCTATTGCTTAGCTTCTAGCATTATCAGTAGTACAATAAAAATCCTGGACTTTCAGCTGCTATAATATGCATCAGTTTGCAATCTGACCTTTTATTCCTCCCGCTCCAACCTACTCATAATGATATACTTGATGACATTCAATCAAGATAAGAACTGTGGTATATTATGGCATGTTTTCATTAATTTAATTTTGAAATAGTGTCACTGAGATTTCAAAGTCTCATACTGAGCAGCTGTTATTGATTTAATCTTATTTTTTCTGAGGAGAGATAAAAAAAAATCTTTTTGTATGTTTTTTTTTCTTACAAAAATAGTTTTTTCAAAACAGGTTAAAAGTGTTTTGTTTCATAAATATCACTCTCACTCAGAAGAGTACATGCCTCTCACAAGAACTACGGTAAGTATATAGAATGGAAAATACTGAAACTCCAAATTGAAGAACTCCTGTGTAAGCCAAATTATCTGGCTTATTAATTTAACACAGGTATGATGTTCCCTGCTTTGTAATATTTCAGTACTTTAAAAGGATAAAGATACAGGATTCTCCAATTTCAGCAGCTTCTGGGAGTAATCACTATGGATACAGAAGATTAAATTCAGAAACTTCAACATGATTTTCCAAAGCTAAAAGTAACAAACCCCACAGTTTACAAACATGCGTATGAAGTGAGGAGAAAGAACAGATGAAGGCTCTCGTGTTCACTTGATGCAGTAACTGCGTGGGTGCTCAGGGACCCAGACTGTAAACTCTCAAGGCAGAAGATGCCTTTCTACTTCCAGCATCCCTCCTAAGAGGGCTGATTTTAAGTACAGGTTGGATTCAACTAACCAAAGAATTCCTGAGGGCAAACGGACTGTGCAAGCTGGGTAGCCAAGGCAGGGGTTGTACCTCTCCCACAGCAAGTCTTATCATGTTGAAGGGCAGAGCAAAAAAAGGTGCAAGAGCAGCAGGTGTGGCTCACTCCCTCTCGGCTGCCCACGCTGCAGTGCTGGCCCACGGGGCAAAGGGTTCACAGCTCAGGAGAGCATCATGCCCCACAACCGCTGGATGTGTAAAACTAATACAAATCGCTCAGTTTGAATGAGCTTGGCTCCTCATGAAAAAGTCCCCATGCCACCCGTGCCTCTACGGACCCATGGGGTGTGACTAAGCCTGCCCCAGATGTGCAGAAGGGGGTGAGTGGTACCCACCCCGCAGGAGAGGGTCTTCTGTGCCTTCCCCTCCACTCCTCGGGGGAAAGGAGGGAAAGTCATGAACCCACTGCACATCTATCCATTGCATTTATTTCATTTCTCGAAAGGGCAGCACCTGTTTCCAGGTGCCTTTCAGAGCTTGACCATCTCCAGCCGCCACACTTCTGCCCCACTCCCAGCCCGGACCGCTGAAAGGGCTGGGACCGGGGCACAGCAGAGGTGCCACGCGAGACAACGAGGACAACATCTGACCAGAATACCACCTCCCGGCAGGTTTTTTTTTTTTTTTTTGGCACGAGGCTGTCTCCCGGCCAGAAGCGGGGAGCGTTTTTCCCCGGCAGCCACGGGGGTGCCGGGTATCTGCCGGGTACCCCCGAGGAGAGCCCGCTGCACCCCCGCTCCGGGACCCTCCCGCGGCTCCCGCTCTCACCTTGTAGACGTTGATGGGGATGTCGATGATGATGTGAAGCAGGTCGCCCAGGGCCAGGCTGGCGATGAGGATGTTGGGGCCGTTCCTCATGCACTTGTTCTTGTAGATGATCCGCAGCAGCGTGGAGTTGCCGATGATGCCCAGGACGAAGACGAGGCAGGACACCACCGTGTTGATGTACTTGAATGTCTCCTTGATCTCCGTCTGCCCCGTGCACATCGGGGGAGAGGCCGAGCGCGGCCGCCCGCCAGCCGCCCCCCCGCCTTGGGGAGGCGCGGCCGGGCGGGAGGCGTTGGGCTCGGAGCCCCGCAGCCCCGGGCTCCCGGCCGTCGGGGGGCTCTGCCTGCCCGGGCCGGGCGGCAGCAGGGAGCCGTCTCCCTCGGCGGCAGCGCGGCAGCTGAGGAGCAGGAGGAGGAGGAAGAGGAGGAGGAGGAGGAGGAGGGCGGGCAGCCGCCGCGGCCGGGCGGCGGGCATGGCGCTGCGGCACGGCCGATCCCCCGACCTGCGCGGAGAGAAGGGGGGGGGGGGGGGGGGACGGGGCGTCAAGCTGAGCTGCGCGGACACCGCGCCCCGCCGCCCGGGGACAGGGACGGGCAGCGCCGGGGCGAAAACCTACGCGGCGGCTGAGGGGGGAGAAGTCCCCCCCGGCCGGACCCGCTCGGCGCCGGCCCGCTCTGCCCCCCCCCCCCCCCGCCGCTCCTCTCCCCCCTCACCTCGCCGAGCCGATCCTCCTCGCCCGCCGCCGACGGGGCTCTGCCTGCCGAGCGAGGGAAACGGGCTTCGCCGGTTGGCTTCCCCCTCCCGGGCCCGGCTGCCGGCGATGGGTCCCCCCTCCCCCGGGGCCGCGGAGACGGGAGAGCCGGGCGGTCCCCGGCGGCCGTCAGCCGCGCACCAAAACCCCCGGCTAAAGCCGCGGCAGCGAGGCAGGGCCCCCCCCCCTTTTCTAAAATATTCGGCCGCATCCGACCCATCACTCACGGCCAGACCCCACCCGCGCCCTCCTCCCCACCCGCCCCGCGGGGCCCAGCCCACCCCTCCGCCCCCCCCCCCCCCAAAGAAGCGCTCCGTACCGCGGTACCGACCGGGGCACCCGCCCCTTTTGCAGCCCGCCCGCCTCGTCTGACACCAGGTTGACTGTGGCAGCCTAAAGTAGTAATTTGGCGGCGGTTTGAAACTTTTTTTTTTTTTTTTTTTTTTTTTTTTTTTTTTTTTCTTAAGGGTTGTTGCAAGAGGGTTGGTTTGGACGCCTGCGAGGAGAAAGAGGGTTTCTCCCCGCTGTCCTCCCCGAGTCTCATTCCCAGCAGCTGGGTGCGGGGTTCTCCCCCCCCCGCATTTCATTCCCCTCTGACATCCAGAGCGGCACACGGGCGGGTCGATGTCACGTTTTAAAGCCCTTCACAAACCGACGTACCTCGTATACTCTTCTTACTCAGAAATAGTATTTTGGCTGTTCGGAAGCTGCAGTGGCCCAGGCTGGGCACCTGGTTGCCGCCTTGGGCGGCCTCAGCAATGCATCAGACCCCAGCGAGCTCCTTCCAGTCGTTGCGTCCTTCAGTGAAGCGTTAAGGAAAAGAGCAAAGAGATTTGTACGGGGTTTTGTGGAGGCTAAGAACAGCCTCTGAAGTTTGGAAACAATTGCATGCCTAACTAAAAAGAGTTGAATTTAAAGCTGCTTTCCAGCATCTCTACATATATCTCCCTGATTATTTTTATTTTTTTAATTATGCTGGAAGACGAATCATATGCAGAACATGAATGTATAAATGCTTCATTACATAATTGACCCACTCAACCTACATTACTGACATATCCATAGGGGGAAAACTCTGAAAACCAAATGTTTCTTTCAAGCCTTTCCCCAGAATGGCTGCTCTGATCTAGCTCATCTTTCCAGCATCTCATGCTAACATCTTTGTTGAGCTACTGCAGCACACAGCCTTTTCTTGTCCTCATTTAGCTTCATTTTCACATCTCCATCTTTGTTTAAAAGTCTGCTGTATCAAGCACCTTTCCCATTTAATCATTCGTGATCCATTTCCTAATTTAGCTGGCACACTAATTTTTCTTCCCCATTTTATATTGCAGTATTTGTGAAATAAAGGCACAAGAGTCACTTCTAAACTGTATGAGGGTAGCTGGGGGTTGTACTCCAGCCAGAGGACTGGTCTTTCCAGGCTCATGCTTTTTCAGACTGTGTTTTGCAGCAGGATACGTTTTGCAGCACCAGGGCCGATTCCTCTCCTGCTGACAAAAGTGTGAAGGTTGAATTAACCCTATAGTATTCTGAGCCCTGAGGACTTAAAGTCTTTTCAGTTCCCATTTCTGCCTTTTCTCAATTTCCAATCCATAAGGGAGCAATGTTTTGCTGAATGCAGTATTGATTTTTATTAGAAACTCTTGCCAATTAACATAGAATTAATTTTTACCTTTAATTGCTTCTTACTTGCAAGGTTCTTGCTAAGACCCAAAGGCTTGTATGCTGACCCTGATCCATTGAGAAATAGATTGAGACTACACTGAGATATATTTGCTAACATTTTTGTTAGCACAACTGCACAAGATACGTTTGCTACTGTTTGGTAGCAACACCACTGATGCCACTTACTTCAGCTTCAGAAGGTTTAGTAATAGCAGATTAATTTCAGAGATTTTTAGTAATATCTTTAGTATATACAGAACTCTGGGCAACTGCTGATACCCGAAGCACATTACTCTATAGTATTCCACAAACTGGGTCTATGTGACAAAGCGTCTAAGCTGTTTCTGGCTGCCAATAGTCTGCCCAGACCAGCTCTTTTCATAGTTACTGTTGGTTATGGTGAACAATCAATAATGAAAAAATTGACTGTTCATCAGAAATGATGGGATATTCAAGGAAATACAACTAGTTAAGTTTACTACCCTTTTTGTTTCTACTCTGTTTTTTCAGAGATTAGAATATTTGAGAAATTAAAATGAACATATGCTGCAGCACAAATCTGCTTTAAATAGTGAAAAACTACAGGAAAAGACAGTTTCACTTAATTTTATGTGAGGATTAAGATAATTATTAAACAGAGAGCATAGTGGATGTCTTGGCAAATTAACTGTATCTTAAATGAAGAAGAAACTAATAAAGTTAATCTAGATTGCAACAAGAGAGAACCATCTGTAAATATAATAGATTGGTGCCCCTTAAGTGGCATCTGCTAATTAAGCTATGAAATAAACGCCTTACTGAACTGTATGGAATTCATTATATACGATTATACAAACAGCTGCTAGTGTATCCGGCTTTTTTTTTTTTTTCCCTAGAAAGCAGAAGTATTTTTTGTCATATGAAAAGTTCACTTTTGTACAAAACAGGGAAAGCTGGACCGTCATCTTAAAGATCCCTCAGGCTGTCTGACACTCATTTTATTATATTCTACACTACCACTGCATTCCATCCCACCAGCTATTAACAATTACATGAATTATAACCAGTCACTAGTTTATGTCAGATGCAATGTTTCCATCAATGACTGATAATGGTCTGACTTTTTTTTTTTTTTAATTTGGAGTGTCATATAGAAAGAAAATAGAGTGGATAACTTGTAATCACCACCAGAATGATTTTTTAACAACAGGATGACTTTAAAGATTATTCTGTTATATGCAGTATAACTCATGAGTAGTGGTCACAGTTATGGTGTCAGAAAACCCTTTCATTAACAAGCTCATGAGACACATTGCAGGACTGTATATTTTAACTCATGTTATACTCATTGAGTCAATGGAAATTTTGTCATGAGCTTGCAGGTACTTTTGAAAATCTCATTAATTTTCTGTTTACATTGTTTAGTAACCAAGTACCCTTGGAAATCTGCCCCATCAGGACTGCTTTTCTTTTTATTGAGTCTGGGGGAAATCTGCCTACTAACTGGGGCAAGTCTGGGATGAATAAAAAATAACAGCCACTCAGTGTGAGCCACGTGCTAGAAGCATGAGGTGAATTAAAGTCAGAAAATAGTTTTATGTGTTTTAGAAGTTACCACAGAACTTCCACCAATGGCAATTTTAAAGGAATAAATGTACTTTGAGAAATTAGGATATTTCAGTTTTGTAACTGTACATGTTTATATACTGGGCAGACAATACAGAAGAATTATATTATCTGTCTCATTTTTTTTCCCTTTAGTCTAAATTTATGCAAAAATATTAAATGCTTTTTAGTGTGATATGTAGTTAAGCTTTGTCTCTTCTACTACAAAGCTAATCAAATTCTATAAATTATAGTGTTGGCTGTCAACTGCAGTGTAATGATATTATTCCTAATTCTTGAAACAGCTAAACAGTATGTATTTTGTCATAAAAGGTTATAAAAAGTAACAGTAGATATCACAAATGAAACATGAGATTTGCATGCAGATACCTGCTTTAATGTAGATTACACTGCATATGATTCCATATTGTATCTTAAAACAGCAAGATGCAAAAAAATGAAAGAATCAAATTTGTACTAAGTTTTTTTTTTTTGTCTCTTAACAGTCCTTATTTGTACGAGTTCAAGGATTTTTGCATGGAATAAAGTTCAAGCCTTTAAGTCAGCCTGGTTGCTAACTGAAATTTTATTTTCCCATCTAACTCTAAGATTAAAAATAATATGCCACTTAGTTAAACTTATTCCCCTTATCCTTCCTAGTCAACATCAGCAAAGGAAATTACAAGGTACATTAAAGTTCCGAAACTAATATAGCAGCATGTAATTAACTTTTTTGGGGTATAAAATACACTGAATTGCTGTCTCTTAAGGGAAAAGCTACTGAAATGGGTTTGGGAATGTAGATGCAGGTTTGAAAGAACAGCATTTCTGTATTTTACGAAAATTATTAAAGTCATTTTTGCCCATGTTACTTCAGTAGAATAAAAGTGACCAAGTTTACTTTTAAATTCCAGTTGTTGTTGGAGTTTGGATCAGAATCACCCAGGAAGCCTAGATAAGATCAATTGGTTTTGTTTTGTTTTTTAAAAAGTACATTTTTTAGCTGCTGGGAAATGTACGTGTTTGTACAAAGGAGGTGATAACTGACCATACATTGTTTATGTTGTTGCACAGCAATCACTCCAGGCAAGCCTTTCAAGTCGGGATTAAATTCATTTCCAGACAAAATGTCTGACCTCAACAAGAGATGCAGTGATTCACTCATCCATGCTTTTCTGCAAGTGTGGTCATGTAATACAAACACAGCATTCATCTGGATAGAATAAACCCACAACCACGTACTGATGTTAAATTGCACTGATAAACTGTACACCGATAAAACCATTCAGTTAAAAATTGCTAGAATAAAGAAATCTATTCTCTGAAATAAAAGAGAGACAGGGAGGGATCTCAGGTGCTAGACAGCTGGCTGTCCACAGGCTCCTTGTTTCCTTCACGCTTGGCTCTGTTCAGGATGGTTCCAACTAGCTCCAAATCAAATCTCTTACTGTGGGGTCAGCCCTAAGTAGCAGTGATGAAAGCTGGTGCTTGCCACGAGGCAATGGGGTTCCTTCTAGACAGTAATGTGCCTGCACTTCCTAACAACTAAAATAATCCCTGGGATCCTCTGCTCAGGTTGGAGAGGGAGATCTTAAGGGTCTTTTCCAACCTGAGTGATTCTATGATTCTGTGACTTTCACCAAACTGCACTGAGAGAATGCAGTAATTACTTACCCAGGGAAATAAGCAAGAGATAGTGTTTATATGCCATATACCCCAAGAGGTAGGAGTACTGTTTATGTGGATGACTGGAAGCCATTTCAAATGCTCATAGAGACCTAGAAAAGGCTTTCTACAGATTAACATCACATCATTGGGCTCTAAGTTTTTCTAAGACATAAAAAAAAAATCTTATATGTGCAAATAGGTCCTCGCTGATCAGACCTTTGAAGAATCTCTTCACTTTTATTTCAGACAGATGTTGGAT